GTATTATTTTTCTTGTATTTATGTTGATTTGTTGACTATCAAGCCCATTTATTATTCTTAACTTATTGATTGATCTGCAAGAGCCCTTCATATGTTAAAGATACTGCCTTTTGGGGAAAACGTTCTTCAATACAAATGACAAACATTTCCTCACACGTCTGGCTATTGCCCATGGCCCTTTTGCCTTACAAAAGTCAAAGTTTTACACACTCTCACCGGTGGGCGGTTTTCCTTCTGCTTCTCTCTCAAACATTTTTAATTTCCCATTTCATTTAGTGTTTCTACTGATTTTATTTTTTCGTAGAGAATCTCTGATCCACCTGGAAGTTGTTTCTGATAAATTGTAGGATAGGCTTCCAGGAATCAGTGGATTTGGGGCGGGGGGATATGCAAGTATGTGTGTGCGTGATATGTTTGATCAGCCATTGGCCTTTGCACAAAGTATTGCTATCATACTTAGAAGTGTGTGACAATTTCAGCTTGAATCTGTTGTAAGGGAAAAATTAAGGAATACTGAATCAGCCAACGTACTGAGCTCCAGCTTGGCCATAGCATTTCCTGCGTTTCCCTCAGTAAAGAATCTGCCCCCCTGACTTTGTTATGTGAAGCCGTTCTGACTAGTTTGCACAACTGAATTGCTTTCAATATGACCAGATTATTCCGTTTAACAGATCTGTTTCTATTTAAGAAGATGATGTCTTTGGCTCGGGACATGTGGTATCAGAGATGTTCAAGTATAAATGGCAACGTTCCATTAGAGGGCCTCCCATCCGCGATTGATTGCTTCCTTTTCTCCTCTGCAATATTTCACTCCTTCCTCCCCTTCCTACTTCACCTTTCTTCTGGCCTTGACCACCGGGTTCTTTCCCGGGCATCTTCCCCTTAACGTGACCCCCTGACATTGACCGCGGTTTTCTCCCTAAAACCGCACGAAGTCCGCCCAAGTCCTCCATTCCTCAGAGCAAGGCCAGGGTCCCGCAAGCTGCTGCCTGGGAGGGAGATCGGGGCTCAAACCTTCCTTTGGCGGCCATCCCTGGTGGGAAGGGTTCTCACATGTGTAAATCTTCTAGGACAAACATTGCAGACAGGGCGAGTGACCTGCCTTGGGCCCCGCGACACCACGGGGACCACCCCGTAGAACTTTCCCATCCCTCCCATACCATTTCAGCTCGGTGAGAGGGAACAGCGAGAGCCACCCGGAAGAAGCAGACAGAAAGAGGGCATGTCACAGGGAGCAGGGCGTCTGAGCCGGCAGCTGGCGCCGGCAGCCCCGGGGCACCCCCTTGGCCGGCGTCTCGCGCTGCCTCCCCGTGGTTAGTCCTCCGCCAGCACCTGGGCTCGGCCCCCCCTTCCCGCCCGCCGGCTGCCGCCGCTGGGCTGGCTCCCTTGGACAGGACCCGGGGCTGCTGTGTTCTTTACCGCACAACGTGGGCAGGCAACACACCCATATCTAACCAAGGAGGAGAATTCATACGGAAAATATGTCCTGGTCAAAAGTTACGGTGGAAGCAGATAAAACAAATTTCCCTCCATCCCGTTGTCGCCACCATCTCCCCTCCGAAGGTCATGGGGTGGCTCCCTGAAGTGCTTAAACTTGAGCAGGTAAAGCAAAGCCCCAGCCCAGCCTCCCGCGTCGAGGTGAAGGCCACAGCCCCCGGTCCAAGCCCGGGGGCACTTAGCTTTCCTCTGCAATGCGCTCTCCGGCTCATCCGTCTTCAGGCGTCTCCTGGGAGGGACGGCTGCCACCCGAGGTAAGATTTCTATGTTCTCGGTACCGTCGGACATAATGCCGCCACCGAGCACCCAGTACAACAGCCCTCCTCACTCCAATTTTCAAAGCTGCCATAGTTTCGCCATAACTGTTAGCAGATTCATCTATCAAGTCGGCTGCATCATCGCTGGACAGAAACCAAGGCTCAGAAGTGGCCGGCCGCAAAGGAGGGACCCGGGGGGATTCTGCCAAACCCTGATCTCAGGTGTCTGGGGCTGGCGCGGCTGGGACGCTGTCAAGGTCTCGGAGACGCTGACAGTGGGAAGCGCTGTCCAAGGAGCCGACGGGGAGAGAGGCGAGGGCCCGAGAGAGGCGCGCTCCGCTGTGGGGCCCACAGGCCCCCGCCGGCTCCCTGTGGGGACGCGGTGTGCTCGGGGATTTTGTTAATTTAGTTGATACTTTCATACACTGCAACACAAGTGAAGGGAAAAGTTAGATTAAAAACAGAGGCCTATGAAATACATACCCCATTTTATGATTAGCTCGAATAGACATGACCTTTCCCTGAGGAAAATACACGCGCATAGAGCTGCGCCGGCTCCCACAGCGCGACTGCCACCCTCAGCCCTCGCCTCGCCCCAGACGGGCGGGGAGCAGGTCACAGACGGGCACAGGGCTGGCGCCGCGCTCTGAGTGACAGGGCTCTGGAGGGCGTAGCGGCCCCCCACGGGGAAGCGGGCGTCAGGCTGGGAAAGAAAGGCCGCCCCCGGGACAGACTGCGCGTGGCCTTCGGAGGCTCCGAACGTCTCCTCTCTCCGGGGCTCCTGTAACACAGCAGGGTCAAGAGAGGCGGGGACGGAGGGAAACGAAGCGCCAAAGCAGCCTCGCCAAGAGCAGCGGAAAGGGACGGCGGAACGCAGCGCGGCAAAGGCCGCGGCGGAACGCGGGGGCCAGTCCCGCCCGACGCGGGCGGCCGCGCTCGCTCCGCCTGGCCGCTGCTGCCCCGCCCGCCCGGGCAAACACGGCCCCCCCGCAGCAGACTCGACAGGGACCGGGGAGGCCCTCCCGCTCATCGGGTCACACGGCCCCGTTCTCCGTCCGGGGTCCTCAGCAGAATAACAGAGGAGGGTACGTGTCCGTCTACAGCAAAACCAAAGAGCTTGGACCCAGAAACCAATGCGGTTCTCAGCATTTTTCCAGGTCAGGTGCGAGGAAGAGCGGCGAGGCTGCCCGCCCCAGCGAACTAAGCCTCACCCGCGTGTGACTGCAGGGTGGACGGCTCTGTCCTTGCCCCTGGCCCGGCCGGCAGCCTCTGTCTGAGCCCAGGGACGGCTCTGGGCAAGGCAGTCTAGGCGCGGCTCCGGGAGCCCGGAGCCGGCGCACAGCGCGACCGCCACCTGCATGGCCGGCCGGCCCCAGGAGCCTGCCCCACGCAGCGAGACTCATGACGGCCACCTCCCCGAGAACATGGTGAAGATGCTGCGCAATGCGTACAAAGCCATGTGATGTCGGTCCTTACTACTCAGAAGTAACGCACTGAAAAGCACTTTAAACCGCTTCCCCCCCAACCCCCGCCAGAAAGGCAGCTTTGTCTTGCACAGCTGTCTCCCCCCCTTGGTTCAGATCACCTCCCTCTTTATCTCCCTCATCATCCTGACTGGGTCACGGCAAGGAGCTGGCCTCTTCCTGCCCCTTTGCAGCACGGAGAAGTGGCACATCAACTGTGACCAAGATGACTCGAAAATTCACAGGGATGTTTGGCTGCAACTAGCACATTGGGTTAAGTTTGTGGCTTTTCTTAATCGAGACCCTCCTCGTCCCAGCTGCAGGCCTCTGTGGCAGGAAGTCCTGCTAGTTCTGCTGACTTACTGTGCAGGGAGGCGTTGCTCTTGCCACATCCCTGCAAAGTGACAACAGGATGTTTTCTCCGATTCTGTGCCCTGGCCATGGATTTATTAGCGGGCAAGGCGTCGGGCCCAGGGTGTGTGCTGCGTGGCGCTGCGTGCGTTGCTGGCCTTCTCTGAGCCTTTTCTCATTTGTAACGCGGACGTGATAGCTGTTTCTCCTTCCTCACAGATGTCAGATGTGAAAACACAGGCGCGATTCTGTAAAAAAGAATGTTGGAAGTAACTTAAGGCACTTATTAAATCGTAGTGTATAAAATATAATACTAGCCAGCAACGATTTGGTAGGCGTCTCTTGCAATCTGGCAAACATAATAGCCCTGGATTTTGATTCTCCTTTACAAAAAGAAAGCAGAAGATAGGACGCATGTGTCTTAGAAAAAAGAAAGGAAGGTTGTTCATTGAAGGTGATTTGGTCAGTGTTTCTGGACAGCAGTTAACCCTAACTGGTGCTTGGTGCGTGGGTTGTCTGTCTGCACTCATCTTACGGCGCTCGTGACAGGAGCCTGCACCCAGGGGAAATCGAGTCTCGCGGAGCCTCAAGTGCGGTGCCTTGTGCAGTGAAGGAGCAAGGCTGGAGCCGCCCGGCAAGGCATGGCTTTCTGCTCCTGCGGAGAATGTGGGCACCGAACTGAGCCCCTGATTTTTAAAATATAGTATTATTAAAGCCCTAGATAAACACATGATCATTTTCAATTAAAAATGAGTAAAAGAGAGATTTAGAGTTAAAAAATAATGTTGCCAATGTTCTCCTTTAATAACATTATGAAATCTTCCAAAAATGTAACTGAAATTTAACCACATTTGGTCAAACACGGAGAAAATGGCAAGAGTAGGAATAAGTTTGCTACGAAGCCACGGGTCTCCCTGGAAGAGGCTCAGGCTGCAGTGAAGGCTTAGTGTGACACAGCGGTGACTCGCACGAGGTTCCGTGTGTCTCCAGGCCATAAATCGGTGTCCACGTGAGAAAGAGAGAGAAACCAAATACGGCAGGCACCCTTTCCTGCCAGGAGAAATAGTAAGCATTGCTTGCGAGCAGCGAACAGCTCTGAACTCTCTCTGCAGCGTCATTAAGTTCCTATGGCTCGGCTCTTTCTCCTTTCACCCTTTAGGACACGAGGACTCACAGAGACGTTGAACGTGGCTGAGGCCAGGGACAAACTCGTTATTGCAGACAGGACTCCCCCCCAGGAGTGCCAAAAGCACAGGTCTGAAACAGCCCATGCTGACACACCCCTCCCGAGTCAGGTGTGAAACTGTCGCTCCAGCGCGCTCGCTGCAAGCAAGCCAAAGCTTGCCAGACCCAGACTTAGCCTCAGACTCTTCCTCCTTCACCGATTTGGTCAGACTATTGCGTCTGGGCTTCTTAAATCAAAGCCATTAGAATGACTAAGTTTTCATCCTTGTCTCTCTTTTTCCTGGTAGCTGGAGCGCATATGACTCTGAAGTGTAAGTATCTCCTGTACCTCCCACCTGGGAGTGTTAAATGAATTTCTAGTGACTGTATTGTCACATTGGGAACAGTAATTATTTTTCACAACCATGTCTATGGCTCTGAACTGTAATATGTTATGCAATTGTTTGTATACAATTACATACTATTGTTTATAAGGACGATTATGCATCTTAGGCGACTGTAGGGTTTTTTTAAATCTTTGAAAAAGAGTGCCTGTCAAAAGAAGTACATGAACTCTCCTGCTTAGGCCTTTCGCATTCAACCTGTCGGTCTTCCTCGCAGGCTTCGGCGTGGAGGGCTTCGGCGTGGAGGGCTTCGGCGTGGAGGTCATCGGCGGGGAGGAAGTGCCACCGCACTCCCGGCCGTTCATGGCCTCCCTGCAGTACAAGGGCACCCACATCTGCGGAGGGGTCCTGATCCACCCGCAGTGGGTGCTGACTGCAGCCCACTGCCACCGCCGGTGAGTCCCCACGCTGCCTCCCCCGTGGGCGAGGGCGGCAGCGGGCCCCTCCCAGGAGGGTGTCTGTCCCCGCTTCGCTCCCTTGGCCGCAGGCCAGCTGGGGATGGTCACTCGCCCTCACACGCACCCACGCTTCCTGCCCTGCGGGTCCATTTTCAAGCCAGGCTGGCCCACCTTTCCCACCAAGCCCTCAGACACGGTCAAGGCCTCAGGGAAGGCGGCCGCTGCCGAAGGGACCCGGAGGCCCGAGCTTGTGCCTCCCGTCCCCCTGACAGAAGGACCTGCTTCGTGGGATTTTGAGGGTTAAATAATATGTGTGTAAATATTTGAGTATGCTGAGCACGTAGTAAGCGCAGACAAAGAGCAGGCAGGAGCAGTAGGCGCAGCAGGCGCAGCAGTACGAGGAGCCCGCCTTGCTCTTGGACTTCAGACCCAACATCAACGCCCAGACCCCGCCCTGGGGGGGCCGCAGCTTGGGAATTACAGCTGCAGGGCAAACGTCTTCCCGGGTGGGAAAAAGGCCGTAGATGGTTTATGTAGATGGTTTATTGAGAGAGGGGGAGAGAGAGGGAGGGGGAGAGAGCGAGCAAGAGAGGGTTCTCTCTCTGGGACCCTCGGAATGAAAGCTTCCCTGCAGACAGACCACAACCCTCAAAGCCCGTTTCAGCCTGAGCCCCTCTGCCTCCAGCTGAAACCGTCCAGACCCTTCCTGGGGTTCCCACCACCAAAGGGGAGCAACAGAAAGCAGAGCCGGTGTTGTCTGGCTTGTTTGCAGGGGTGGGTTTCTTCTTCGCCGAGTGGTTTTGTTTGTACGCTTTCTCCCTCACGCTCCTGACCTGAGCGCGCGGAGACGGGGCCTTCGTTCCGTACTCGACAGCCAGGGTTTCCCTCAGGGACCCCAGCCCCTGACGCTTTGCTCTCCAGGCACCCGCTGTATCCACACGAGCAACTGAACGGACTGTTCCGTGTTCTGGGGGTTTGGTGCGATTGTTCCATTGATGAGACTGTGTGACCACAAAGTAGAAACTTTGAAGCCCAGAAACAGGGCGCACTTCTGTTTGATTCCTGCCCAGCCAGCCCCTCATTTCCCACTGGATACGGCTACTCCACTCCAACGAGCTGCTCGCCGTCATGGACACCGCCCTGCGCCCGCCCTTCCGCCCTTTCGGGGGACCGGGCCCCGGGGGCCGGCTAGGCCGAGGGCGGCTGTCAACCAATGCTCATTCCGTTCAAAACATGCACCTCCTCAAAGAGGCTTTGGGGCATGTAAACGGACTCAAATCTTCCCAGACTCAGAGCTTGACGTCTTATAAATGTTCAGGAACTGCTGAGTAGAAAAAAAGAAAAGAAATTGGAGGACTTTTATTTATTTTTATTTATTTATTTATTTATTTATTTTTGCTGAGCTGTAAACACAGGGTGTAACGTCCTTCACAAGCCACAAAGCGCAATCAACAGTAAACAGTATTATTAAGTTGAATTTTAAATTTTGTCCAGTGACCTTGACTCAGTAGGGGTGGATTGCCAAATTGCCAAATTAGGGAAAAGAAGTCTTGGCTTTTTTTAGAAAAAATAGCTAAATATCCTTTTAAATGGCTGGAGTTTAGAGAACTGCAGAATATGTGGATCGAATTTCGTCTATGGGACACTGGGGTGTAAAACTGTAGGTGGATTGGTGCTTGGAAAAATATCAAGCTTTATGAAATCTCAAGTATTTATGAAATAGCTCAGTGGTGGCTTCCCACAAACGCATTCCCGCGCACCCTGCGGGGTCGGCTCGCTGCCGAACGGCGGCCCCTCTCGGCCAGCGCTGGGGGCAGCCAGACCTGGGCGCCCCTGCCCGCCACCCGTCCCCGTGGCTCCTCACAGAGTCTCCTCGCTTCTTTCTTAGTCACCATAGCAGTTACAAAAGGAAACTGGTAAAAAGAAAAAAGAAAAGGCTTTCTGTATAATCTTATGTCCAGCCTTTTAACTTCTCAGAAGCACAACCCTTACCAAGCCTTGCCCACGCCTTCCCGAGCCTCCTCCAACACCGTTCTTCGTGGGCACGCTCCCTCCTCGCCTCAGCCGAAGCCCCCGCCACCCTTCCACGTGGCCTCACGCCGTCCTGAGTCCCCCGGGCTCCCTGGGAGGGAACTTCAGGCCCAGATCCAAACCCACGGAGCTTTCGTGCCTCCGCAGCCGCATCCTTACGCTCCGTGGGACAGTCTCAAGTCTGTCCCTTCACCTGAGCCTCAGCGTCCTCATCCGCAGAATGGGAATGATCATAACACCGCCCTCACAGGGCTGCTGTGAGGTTTAAATGAGAGAGAGTGTGTCAAAGGCCCAGCACAAGCCCCGGCCTACCCAGGGATTTAGTAACAGCGACCTGGTGTTATGTCGCTCTCTGCACCTGCCATGGCAGTCGCTGAGGAGCAAAGCCAACGGCCTCACCACGCTGATAGGACGCAGCTGTGCCAGCCCCCCTCTGGCAGGCAAGTCACTTCCTCCGCTCATATGCGGAAGAGACCACCAAGAAACAGGGACGCTGCCTCCCCAGTCGGAGCTGGGGGCATAGGTCCCAGTGGAACCCTGCTCGGTGCCCAGGCAGACGGCAGACGGACAGAGGACACGGGAGGCCTGAGAGGGCTGGGCTCAGGGCTCCCGGACCTGCGGTGGACAAAGCACTGGACAGAGCCACAGAAGCTGCGTTTGGGTCCTGATTCGCCAATGCAGACAGGGACTTGGGCCAAAGAACCGTTTCGTGGGTAAGGCACACACCGCCCGCTGGCGTTAGCAACACCGAGGGGGGCCACCGGGAGGCTCAGGGGCCGCCGTGTCTGTGGGCACCTTCGCCGGGGGCAGGGGGCCGGGAAGCCACACACCAGCACCGCTCTGCAGGCGGTTCTGTCCCGGGCGTGTCCAGGGGGCGGCGGCGACACAGAAAGCTGAGCTCCAAAGGAACATCTCCAGAAGATTCCCGAGCAGGCAGTCCAGAGACCAGGCTGGAGAAACCCGAGGCTGTACAGCTGTACAGATGGGTGTCATCGCTCCTCCTCTGTGCGAGCTCAGGCCCAGCTTTAGCGAAGGAGCGGGGATCCTGGAGCTCAGGTCATTGCAGGTGGCCCGTGAGCAGAGAAACTGACGTTTGTGCACAGATTACAGCTGCAGTGTGTCCAGAAATGGGCAGTTCAGAGAGCATTCACAGTCTGCTTGCCTTGTTTTTCATTTTTTTTTTTAAAGATTGTATTTATTTAAAAGAGAGGGAAACGTGGGGAGAGAGGGAGAGAAGCGCCAATCAGTTGCCCGTTGTGCGCTCCCAGCCGGGGACCAGGCCTGCGGCCCAGCCACAGGCTCTGACCTTTGGCTTTGCAGGACCACGCCCAACTCACTGAGCCACGGCAGTCAGGGGCTGTTCGCATCGTTTTCAGTATTAACATGTCCCAATGGAGATGAAAATAATCAAAACACTTCAAAGGCATTAACTGACCAAGGAAATTGGTAAAAATGAAGGCAACCCAGAAATCTCTGCAGCGCCGTTCCCCTCGTTAGAAATCATCGTCCGCAGCCTCACCGCCTTCCTCTGGCCGGTCATTCGCGCGCGCGCGTCTCGTCCGTCAGAACGAGGCCCCGGGGGTTCCAATGGCCCCCCAGCGTTGGGTGCAGGGGCCAGGCTGAATTTGAGTTCGAGGCAATCCTAGGAAGCCCAACCCACGTCGTTTGAGAAATTTCACCCTAAGCCTTATTGTGCAATAGACAGACTTTTCGACAAATAGAGCTGGAATCCCAAAAATAAACTCTTTTGGTAGAAATCTAAAAGGGGTGATTCCTGGCAGTCCCAGCCTCCTGTCAGGCACTCGGCCCCCGGACCTGAGGCCGCCCCCGCGCCTTCTCTGCGTTCCTGTGCTCTTCGGAATTTGTATTCATCTTTATTGATCTGTACGTAGGGGCCTGGGGGGCTTCGTAATCTGCCTTGATCCCTTTTCGAGGGCCAATGACCTATTTCTATGTAAACAAACAAATATAATTCTTTGCGTCCAATTTTTTGTTCCAAAAAAGGATGTGAAGAGTCGCACATTAAAATGGAGTGTTTTGCAGCGCGCGCCTGGCTCTGGGGCATGGGCGGGGCCCCCAAAGTATCCTTTCTATTTTCATGGCTGGATGTGAGTGAAATGTTGTTCAACACACAGTAAATCAAACCAGTGTGGTGCTAGAACTCTCTATGGCAAGGGATACAGAAACAACAACAACAACAACAAACCACCTGGTGCCTCTTCCAAGGGCTCCCCGTGGATACCCTCTGAGGGTCCACAGTGGAGCTTCCAGTGGCACCAGCCCCACGCAGCCTTGCCCCAAATCAGCAGCAGTTTTTCGCCTGGGGGACAGCTTGCCTTTGCCGTCCAAACCCGCTTCCTGATGGGGGGACAGAGCGCAGGAGCCCGTGCGGCAGCCCCGTGACAGGCCTCGCTTCCGCGCACGGCCTGAGAGCGCGTCTCGGCGCACCCGATGGGCAAGGGTTAGCGGTACTGCCCTGAGCCCTGGGGAGCTGAGGAACTCGAGCGACAGATGGTAGCGAGGGGTGAACAACGTAAGTGAGTGACTGCCACAGGCTGTACATTTGCAATGGTTAAAAAGGTGAAGTTTGTGTCATGTATATTTTACCTCAATTAATAAAAAAACTTAACCATGGTGGCTATCGATTTCAACCCACAGCCTCAAGAAACATCATTTCTTCTGTTTTGACCTGAATTAACAGTTTTGTTATAAACTTGAGGTCGCTGGATTAGGCTGTCACGCCTCACCCGCAGCAGGGCACAAGCTCGGACAGGCCGTTGCAGTGAGGGGAGCGGAAGGGGGTGGGCCGGAGGCGGGCCAACGGGCCCTTGGTGGCCCCCATCCCTGCTTGCGTCCACGGAGACCCCCATCACACCACCTCATCCCAGACCGGTGGCCTGGGAGACGGTCCTTGTCCCTGTGTGTGTCTGACCTTCGCCATTTCATCTCTCCACTGGGGGAGCTGGGAATCAGCTTGTTGATTCTATATGCTTTGCTTTTTTTTAGGTTTACCAGATGCCAGTCTTTCAAAGTAGTTTTAGGAGCGCACTCTCTCTCTAAGCACGAGGCCTCCAAACAGACCTTTGAGGTTATAAAGTTCGTCCCACACCCAGGATATGCGTCAGCTCCCGACTCGAAAGATATCATGCTGGTTCAGGTATGCAGCCTTGCCTCCCTTCGGTTTCCCCGACGCTCTTACGTAACACAATTCGGTCGTGAAGTCACCCCTACAAAGGCATTTTGTTGGCACCGCCTTCATGCTGCGGTCACGGGGACCTGCTCTGTAGGAGCCCATTTTACTCCGTTTACCGCCTTGAAGGAAACAAGAATCAGTCACACAACCCATCAGGGCCGCGTTCGCACAAACAGAAGCAACACGGATGCCCACACACGTGGGAGGGGACAACCCAACAGGCCCAGGGGTTTTTCATTAGCAAATGAAAAATCCAAGTCGTTTATCCAACAGAGCCAGCCACGTGACTTCAGGGACACAGAAGTGAGTTGCGACTTGGTCTAGACCCCACTTAGTCTGGTCCAAACGTCCTCAAGGATCCTCTCCAACAGGAAACAGCCCAGCCCTCCAAGCCACGACCCGGGGGCGTTATTCCACAGAAAACCACCGAGTGCAGGCGGAGGCCAGTGCACCGGAGCTGGGGCCACGTTCTTGCTCTGTGTCGGCCCCCACCCCCTCACCCCTGCGCGTGGCTGAGCTCTCTCTGCGGGGCATGCGGAGCAGGCTCCGAAAAGCAGCAGCCACCAACACAGCTGCAGGCTCCCCCCAGAGTAGATTCAAGAAGAGGGCTGCCCCGAGAACGGGGACCACACATAGGCCGCTCAGGCTGATAGCGGAACACGACTGGGGACCAACGGCCCTTTACTCTTTTTTCAATCTGTCAGCTTCACACGGCCGCAAAACTCGACCAGAGTGTCCAGCTGCTCCAACCAAGCACCAAAAATGATATCAGAGCCGGAACAAAATGCCAGGTCACTGGCTGGGGCGCCACCGACCCAGTGCTCCTGAGCCTCTCTGATACCCTGCGAGAAGTCACGGTCACTACCATCAGTCCAAAGCTGTGCAACAGCCCAAGCTATTACAACCACCACCCCGTCATAGTTAAAGGCATGGTGTGCGCAGGCGACGCCAGAGGCCACAAGGACTCCTGCCAGGTAAGTGCCTGGCTCAGCGCGCCGGTCCAGGCCGAGGCTCCGTGTCCTCGCCGGCACGGGGGACGAGAGGCGTGGAGAGCATAGGACCGCAGTCCCCAGGGCTCCTCTCCCCTCCCGCACAGCGTCCTCCGTGTTTCTCACCCCCCTCCCCGCCCCCGTGAGAAGGCAGCTGAAGGACAGCCCAGCACAGGGCACGTGCCCAGTGCCCGCGTGTCCCCCAGATGGCGGACCGCGTCCGACGGTTCCCCCAGGCGTCCTCCTGGGGGTCTTACCATCCTGGGGAAGCCGGCACCGCCGCGCTCACTGCTGGCGGTTAGCAGACAGCTTCTCCCAGAACAGGGCCTCCCCTGAGACTAGTTAACTTGTAGACTTGAGGTCTGACAAGACTCAAATGCAAAAAACTCAAATATATAGTATGTGTTTCTTAACTCATGTAGACTGACTAACGAAAAGGAACAACAGTCGAACTTTTCAAAATCTTGTTTCCTGAGGCACTGGGAAAAAAAATAGGCGGGTGGTTACAGGTGACGCGTGGGCAGCACAGGTGGATTCCCAGCTGTTTTTTACCCTCGCCCGAGGACGTTTTTCATTGCTTCAGGGAAAGAGAAGGAGAAACATTGGCATGAGAAAGAGTGATCGGTTGTCTCCCACACGTGCCCCAGGAATCAAACCAGCACCCTAGGCACGTGCCCTGACTGGGAACCGAACCCTCAGCCCTTCAGTGACAGGACAACACTCCAACCACCGAGCCGCACCAGCCAGGGCACGATACCCGTTTTTAAAAAACTAGGACACAGCCCTGACTAGCGTGGCTCAGTGGGTTGGGAGTCATCCTGCAAAACAAAAGGTGGCCGGTTCGATTCCCAGTCAGGGCACATGCCTGTGTTGCGGGCCAGAGCCCCAGCTGTGGACCTGCAGGAGGCAACTGATGTACGTCTCTCTCTCACATCGATGTTTCTCTCCCTCTTTCTCCCTTCCTTTCCCTCTCTCTAAAAATAAATAAAATCTTTTTAAGAATTAGAATACAATGTTCATATCACAGTGTGTGTGTGCGGTTACGGGGCGGAGGGTACGGTGAGCGCCAGGATCGTGTGCACGCGCAGTGCCCCAACGCGGCCGCTCCCTGACCCCCCGGGTCCGGCGGGGGCGGCCACCCCGTCGCTTTCCGCGGCAGACCTGAGTGACGCGTTCTGTGGTCTCAGGGAGTCCTCAAGAACCGGCTCGCCGAGCAGGATTTGCTGAGTGTGGTGTGTGTGCAGGGCGCTCTTTTCAGCCCCATGAGGGCACCAAGCAGGAAAAAAAATAACCCAGGAGACAGAGGCGCTGCCACGGAGACCTTTACCGCAGCGCTGTCCTCTGCCCCTGGCTTGGACCCCTGACCGCCGAGATGAAATCCACCGCTTAAAATCCTTCCTTTGTTTCAGTGAGTCATTTCAGACTTTGGGTCTACCCATTCCTTGATGAATAGAGTTCAGGGCCACTGACGGCCACAGGATGTGTATAGACGTAGCCCTAGTCCATGACGGGGACATGGGCAGACAGACAGATGGCACTGCGGCCTTGGGCAGACAGAGGCACAGACGCCCTGCACCGAGTAAGGGGCCGAGCCTGCCTGTCTTCAGGACACCAAGGGACCGAGGACCCCGATAATCATTTTTTGAATCACCGGCCGTGGGCGGTAGGAAAAGCTCATGAGCTTCTCACCAAGTCTCTGTCCCTTTCCTTGTTTTCAGGGTGACTCGGGTGGCCCCCTGGTCTGCAGCGGCGCCTTCTATGGCCTGGTATCTGCAGGTCATAAGTGCGGCAAAGCCAGGAAGCCTGGAATCTACATCCTCCTCACCAAAAACTTCCAGGCCTGGATCAAACGCAGGCTGTCCCCGCCTCCCGCGCACTAGCACAGCCGCGAAGGCCTCAGGTCCGCCCAGCGCTTGTCCGTGCGGTTGGTCATCTGCCCACTGTAGTGCTCCAGGCCGCGTCCGGCTGCAGAGGCCGCCGGGTGCAGCTGAGGTGGGGCGCGCCCGGGGCCCCTCCTGCCCCCTTAAGACTGATTTTTTTTGACGGAATCGAGTCCTGTTTCACAAGTCTCACAGATGTGTTTCTGCTATGTTTGTTTCATTCTTAATAAAATGTAGAAGAGCATCTGTTTGTCCGTTATGGAAATCACTACAGCAAATGATACATCCCCCCTGCCTCACCCACAGCCCCCACCAGGACGGAAGGTGGTTAGACCAGTCACCCTGCCGCCTTCCCCCAGCTTCACGGTGTGACTCCTGCCGGGCCAGCCTACACTGTCTTTCCAAAACAAGAGACAGTAAATTCAAATACCCCCCGGCAAGTTAAGAAAGAATGATCAGAGTCCATACAAATATTTACAACAGTGCTTATTATTTACTTATTCATACTTCCTCCCAGACTGGATTTAAAACAATGTACAAAAATACCTGCAATAAAACAAAATCTGAAATTGAAAATAATTTCTCCTCCAAAAATTGAAAATAGAAATCCTGTACAACCCAGTGATTCCAATTTTGGTATTTATCGGAAGAAAGTGAAAACACTAACTCGAAATGATGGCTGCACCCCGGTGTCTACTGCTGCGTTGCTCCCAGGACCTAAGGCGCGGAAACAGCGTGCGTGCCCATCCATGGATTAACGGGACGAAGCCCGTGATGCACGCACAGGCTGGCATGTTGTTCAGCCATGAAGAAGAATGGAGCTTCACAATTGGTGGCAACGCGAACGGACCTCCAGGGCGTTATGCCCAGTGACACGCGTCAGACAGAGAAAGGCCAGTATCACATGGTCTGTTTGAGATGGGGAGACGCAAAAAGAACAGTAAGTTCATGGACACAGAGAACAGACTGGTGGTTGGCAGGGATCGGGGCGGAGGGATGGGAAAAACAGGCGGAGGGGGTCAATAGGTTAAAAAGCATTTTAATTAATTAAATTCTTAAAATAACAATTTGGGGAAGAAATCGAGACGCATCCCTCCCGACAGCCTCAGGGTCGCGGGAGGGGATTGTCTGATGGGCCGACTACCCTGACTCTGCCCAGAAGTTCAAACGGAACAGGCCTGCGGTGGGCCTGGCCGCCCACATGGTTTACGAGCAAATCAGCTGATTCTGAAAAGGGGGCAAATCCGAAGTCCACTGCGGAAGAGCGTCCCTCATGCCATCTTACCGAAGGGGCGGGGAGCAATCGGTGTCGTGGGATTTTTTTCTGTGTAAGCCCTTCAGGGGGGCTGACGTCGGGAGACCGGCTGCCGGCCGGCAGCGCAGGGGGCATTGGCTCTGCAGGGCGTTTGGTCTGCGGTCTCCATGGCGACAGCCTCCGACGTGGGTGGGCAGCTTCTCTGTCAAGAGGCAGCGGCCGCAGGGCCGCCTGGGCCTTGGCGTCCGCAGGCTGAGGGCAAACAGCGCTCATTCCCAGGCGGTAGCACCGAGCCTTCCTGCGTTCATACAGATTGGGCGCTTTGATCTGTCTGTCTGTCTGCCTGTCTGTTTTCATGGTTTGAAGAAGCCGGTAACCAGCACTACTGACCTGTGAGTACGGTGCACACAGGATTAGAGGGCAAGCTGGCTAAAACTACAGAACGGCTTTGAGGAAGAAGTAGTGAAAAAAAAGCTCTTCAAATATTCCACTTTATGTCATTTTGATTCCGTAAAAATATACTGATCATGACCCAGAAATCGCAGGCTACGTTTCCTCAGAAAATAACAGAGGGGGCTGCAGAGACTCCAGACTCACCGCTGAAAACAACCCGGCGGGCCTGGCGGCAGTGCCTGCCTGGGTGTGGTTAGCAGGGAATAATATGGGCATAATAATTTACAGTTCTCATGCGAACATTTCACCTAAAATGCCACCTGCTGTGCTTGCGTGTGCTATTCTGTTACAGAACGACACGCTGACGATTTTGTGATAAAAAAAGGGCGTTATTTGTGCCAGACTCCGTATTTCATCTAAAGTTCCAATCCATGAAACATACTGTTGTAAATCCCTCTAATCAAACAACAAGACTCAAGGGTTCTTCAGCCTGCAGCCGGCGAGCCTCTCAGAAAGCGGGCACCGGCCGGAGAGGGGTGTTTGACGTCATACGCTCTCGGCGGCCGCCGAGCAGCCCGGCCAGCTCCGCTGCCGGCCGGACGCCCTGCTGACCCTGGCGCGCGGGCCGGGCGACTCGCACATGGCAGGTAAATAGTTTCTCCAGCAGCAGCTGCTGCTGAGCCCAACGCTGAAGACCCGCTCACCCTTTCAGGAAAGTGGCATTTATCACACACCCCGAAACCTTCCCGACATCGCCCGGAGGACATAGCGACGTAGTTTGGGGAGCGTGTCTTTGAGAGACGGTTTGATCTCATCCATGGCCTCGAGTACAAGCTGGGAGTTAAAATGAGGCAAAAATCCATTTTAAAACTGCTCGAAGGTTTCAGAGGCACACGGCTGACTACTGTTACTCTGAATTATCCCGCTTTCTCCCTTCCTCAGGTCTGCGGGCAGAGCCCGCCTGTCTGTCCCGCACACAGAGAGAGAGGTCACGGGCTTTATTCTCTGTCCAGGCTGCTGTCCTAGAAAGCAATGGCACCAAAAGTAGGACCTACGAGAAAGCAGGTCCAAATGCAGGGCATGAATTCGATCAATGCCGATCCAGGGCCGCGACGATACCCGCCCAGAGCCCAGCAGCAGGGTCGGTCCTGCCCCGTGACCCGCCACGGTGTGGCACAGGATGAACCTCAGCCCCGCCCCGAAGCGGCGGCAGAAGCGGCGCTACCTCCCGGGGGAGGAGGGAGAGGACAGGGCTGCTCTGCCTGGACCCTCCCACCTCTCCAAAACCTTGCAGGCCCACAAGGTCACTGAGCCACAGCGGGGGAGCTGCTCGCAGGCTGTCCCCCGAGCTAGGAGTCCGAGTGCCCGTGGCGGAACCTAGGCCCCTTGAGTCCTAGTGACAGGCCCCCCTGTCCGTGGGCACATGCCCACTTCCTGTTTACAAACGTGAACACCAGCCGGTGCGCTGAGTCATCTCAGTGGGGCCTAGACTGACAGCGCCTCTGATCCTCCCCGTGAAGATCGTGCTCATTTTCGGGTCTTCACCGTAAATGTGGGCGGGCCGGCCCGCGAGAGGCAGCCTGTGGGGTGCGCCCGGAAGCTTCTCCTGAGAACTTGGGAGGAAGTCAAGGGACATTGCCCCCTGAGGGTTCACACTTAAGCTCTATACATATTGTCAGAGCCAAGACACACAAAATCACTCTCAAGAGGCGGTGGGCTCCCCAAGTCTGTAGGGTTGGCTCTGTCTGCTTGTCAACAAACAAGTGTCTAGGTCAGACGTGGGGGCTCCAGCCGTGGGCGGGCGCAGGAAAAGGAGGCATCGCAGGCAACAGGCGGACAAGGACGGCGGGGGGCCGGGGGGAGTGAGCCCCTCCGCCTGCCTTCCGGTTCCGAGGCCCCCACCCGCACCTCGGCCTCAGCCCACTCAGGGGCAGCTCCTCGCCTGGCCTCTTTCTAACCCCGCGCTCACCAAGCAAACCTCTGTGGTCATTTTGCTCCCGTGACAGTTATTTCTCATGCAAATTGATGAACATCTAGCTTTTGTACATCTATTATTCTTATGCATCGAAGTTGGGTCATTTGAATTTCTCTTTGAGGCTCAAATTCACTTCTGCTGTGCTGGCAAAAAATCAAACTTCTGTCCCTGCACTAAGGAAGGGCAAACCCTGAACCTGGGCCAATTCACCAACACGGGGCCTATTAACGACGCCACGAGACTTCAACAGGCTGGCAGCCTGCCTCCCCTGCGGGGGCTCCCGGCCTCCCCGCTAGGGGCCCCTGCGTGAAATGCGCTCGTTAGGCCCGTTAGGGCTCGGCGGTCCGATCGCTCCAAGGAGGATTAGGACCGTTTACCAGGGCTCTGTCTGCTCCCTCAGCATCAGAGGACGTGGTTTGCTACGCAGCTGCCGCCGCTCCTCTTCCCTACAAACAAAACTCAAGCCCGTTTGGGGCACAAATACGCACAGCTAACGAAGGCTGTTTTCCGGACCCCTCCCCCCCACGGCTCATGGTGGTCAAGGAGACGCACATGAGTGCTGTGGGTCGCAAGCGTCCATGGAATTCCTTTAAAGAGAGCTGACTCAGCAGGAAGCAGGGGCCTTTCCCCTCCCTCCTTTCCACCGCCCGGGTTGCCGATGTGATGGCTGGAACTCTGGCAACAAGACTGGACCCGTGAGGCAAGCACGAATAGATGCCAGGTGTTAGTGAGGGTGAAGCAGGTAGGAGGGGACTCTGCGCCCATACTGGCTCTATCGAGGTCTCCTTTACTGCAAAGAAAATGAACAGCTCTACATTCGATCTGCTGTCACTCAAAGTTTTTGTTTTATTCATCCCCACCTAATCCTAATAGATAAAATCAGAAACCTATTGAGAAAATTTCTGTCCCTGATGTATACTCCTAATGATGACAAGCATACGCCTTCATGTCCTTCTGCCCAAATCCTCCAAAATCCCAAATGGTTGTAGCTTGCTGCCTTACCCCATGAAAGCGAGAACTGATTCAGAAAAGGAAATTTTAAATATTGGAAACAATAAGCCATTTCCCCCTCGCTGTGCCATGCTGCGGTTTAACGTGGAGAAACGCCCCGGCTTGCTTGAGGAGATATTTTTGTCCTAACCACCCACTGCCAACGGCAAACATTCTTGCCCCTATTATAAAAATCATCCAAGGCAGCCTGCAGCCTGCAACACTGTTTTCTCCATTTGCGTATATTTTGTAAGTGGATCTCGTAGAACTGTTTTTTTTTGTAAAGTTCCATGAAAATAATGTTTTCTGGCATTTGAGGTTATTACTTGTTCTATTATTTCACAATCATTTGAAATAATACAGCAGTTTTTCCATCCCAGCCACAAG